CCATATTCGGTGGAATGCGTGACCTGAACGGACCGACCTGTCTAATGGTCCACACGTGCAGCTGTTCACAGGACGATTTTTTGGATGAATTGGTGAAAGATTACTTCGCTGTGGAAAATCTTGGAGTAGAGGGCTTGCCTGCTTTTTAGTCAGCAGATGATTGTCGCGCTAGGAAAATTCTACAAGACACAACTAAACCATCCGGAAGATTTGAGACTGGCTTACTCTGGAAAAGCGTCGACATTGAATTTCCATATAATTATAAAATGGCGGAAAAGCGGCTCATATGTCTCGAGAAGAAATTGTTGAAGGAACCCGAACTGAAGGAGAAAGTTGACAACTTGATTCTGGAATACCTGGAGCTTGGGTATGCCCACAAAGTGACCGAGGAGGAATTACGAAACTCTGGTCCTAAGCGTATCTGGTATTTGCCATTGGGAGTGGTGCGGAATCGTCGCAAGCCCGGCAAAGTACGCGTAGTGTGGGACGCTGCGGCCACTGTGAATGGAATATCACTAAACTCACTTCTTTTGGCTGGTCCCGACCTACTAAAACCACTTCTAGCAGTTCTATGGCAATTCCACCAGCGACAGTACGCTGTGTCTGGTGATATTCGCCAGATGTTTCACCAGTTTCTGATCATGCTGGCCGATCGTCAAGTGCAACGATTCTTATATCGTTTTGATCCTCACTCAGCACCCACTGCGTACATACTAGACGTGGCCACTTTCGGGGCTACGTGTTCGCCGTGTTCGGCGCAATATATTAAAAATGTAAATGCCTCCGAGTTCAAAGACACTCATCCAGAAGCGGCTGAGGCTATCGTCAACAATGTGTATGTAGATGATTACCTGGATAGCAAAAATACCATCGACGAAGCAGTAAAATTGGCGTTGGACGTTCGCAAGATCAACCTGAAAGATGGATTGAACTTGGCAGTCAAATTCTGAAGAAATTTTGCGAAGAGTTGGAGAAGAATGCCACGACGGAGTGAAGAACTTTACTGCAGAGAAGTCAACACCTACGGAACGAGTTCTAGGCATGACGTGGATGACTCAAGAAGATGTGTTCGTATTTTCGGCACAATTTCGTGAGGACCTACTCCCTCTTATGACGGGTAATGTTGTTCCAACCAAACGCCAAGTTTTGCGCGTGGTGATGAGCTATTTCGATCCGCTCGGCATAATTTCAAACTACACAGTTCACGGTCGGGCACTGCTACTGGATATTTGGCGATCTGGTGTCAAGTGGGATGATCCAATCATCGACAAGGATTTTGCAAATTGGCGACGGCGAACGCGACAGTACCACGCTGCTACTTTCCCAACTATGATCCGGGGAGCTACGATTCCCTTCAGCTCCACGTTTTTGTGGACGCTGGAAACATAGCGTACGGAGGTGTGGCCTATTTTCGCATTGTAGATCAAGGAATACCGAGATGCGCACTGGTTGCTGCCAAGCGAAAGTTGTACCATTAAAACCACTATCTACGCCACGCAGTGAGTTGAATGCCGCTGTGATAGGGGTAAGGCTCATGAAGGTGGTTGAAAAGAATCACACACTCCCTATTAACAAGCGCTTCTTGTGGACGGATTCAACAACTGTTCTTTCGTGGCTACATGCAGATCCACGCAAGTATCGACAATATGAGGCACTAAGGGTTGTAGAAATACTATCCGAGAGCGAGCTAAACGAGTGGCACTGGGTAAGGTCATCAATGAACGTAGCTGACAAGGCGACCAAGTGGGGCCACGGACGTGATTTCGCACCGAAAAGCGAGTGGTACATGGGACCAGATTTTCTATATCTGCCGGAAAACGAGTGGGACCACGAAGAACCGGAGATAATTGAGCCGCCAGAGGAACTTAAGTTGGTCAATGTACATCAGGCAATATCAAGCGACCTAATAGTGGATCTCACGAAGTTCTCGAATCTAGATCCGTTGCTGAAGATGTTGGCCTACCTTCATCACTTTGGAAGATGCTGTCGTCTCAAGGAGAGGAGTTCTTCTGAAACTGGTGAGGTAATCCTGACGCAAGAAGATTATGATGCTGCGGAAAAGAGTATGTGGAAGATGGTCTAGACACAAGAATTTCCTAAGGAACTAGCTACATTGAGAAGGAATGCTACTTTACCTCCGGACGAACGTATTCGGTTGAAAAAATCAAGCTGCTTGGCTAAGTTATCGCCATTCATTGAAGCCGATGGAATCCTTCGCATGCAAAGCCGTATCGACCCCGAGGCAGCGTATTATGCTTTCAACTTTCGGAATCCCATTGTGCTTCCGAAACAAGGCCACGTCACAGAGCTGCTAGTTATGCGGTATCACCAAAGATACGCACATGCCAATGTGGAAACCATTGTAAATGAGTTGCGACAGCGATACTATATTTCGAAACTTCGTTCCGTCGTGAAACAGGTGATCAAGCGATGTATGTGGTGTCGTGTTTACTATTTATGCAGCTCCACGCGCACCAAAGATGGCAGCTCTTCCGCAACCCAGAGTACAACCATACGTGCGACCTTTCACATTCGTAAGACTTGATTATTTTGGGCCGATCATTATAAAAAGGGGCCGGACAAACGTGAAACGCTGGGTGGCACTGTTTACGTGCCTAACAGTAAGAGCAGATTACTTAGAGGTCGTGCATTCATTGTCGACCGGGTCTTGTAAGATGGCCATACGTCACTTCATTGCACGAAGGGGGTCGCCTCAAGAGATCTTCAGCGACAATGGTACAAATTTCCGAGGTGCTGCGCGAGAGCTGGCACAGGAAATCAGAAGCATCAACCGTAAAGTAGCAAACACTTTTACTAACGCTGACACAAAGTGGAATTTTAATCCACCATCAGCTCCCCACATGGGAGGAGTATGGGAACGAAAGGTTCGTTCTGTAAAGAACGCTTTCAAGGTATTGTTCCATCGCGACAAACTTGATGATGAAGAGTTGGCGACGTGCCTGATGGAAGCTGAGATGATCGTTAATTCCCATCCATTAACATTCGTTCCCCATCGATGAGCCGAACCAAGAGGTCTTGACGCCCAACAACTTTTTGTTGATGGATTCCAGTGGGGTCAACAACTCTGCCAGAATTCCGATCGACGGTGAAGTATCATTGAGGACTAATTGGAAACTGATGCAGCACCTGTTGGACCAGTTTTGGAAGCGTTGGATCCAAGCATACCTGCCGACTATCGCCCGAAGGACTAAATGGTTCACTGACGTACGTCCTCTTCAGGAAGGCGACCTGGTCATCATAGTTGATGAAACTGTCCGCAACGGCTGGCTACGGGGACGTGTGACTAAAGCATATTCAGGCGCAGAAGTAAGTAAGTAAGTAAGTAAGTAAGTAAGTAAGTAAGTAAGTAAGTAAGTAAGTAAGTAAGTAAGTAAGTAAGTAAGTAAGTAAGTAAGTAAGTAAGTAAGTAAGTAAGTAAGTAAGTAAGTAAGTAAGTAAGTAAGTAAGTAAGTAAGTAAGTAAGTAAGTAAGTAAGTAAGTAAGTAAGTAAGTAAGTAAGTAAGTAAGTAAGTAAGTAAGTAAGTAAGTAAGTAAGTAAGTAAGTAAGTAAGTAAGTAAGTAAGTAAGTAAGTAAGTAAGTAAGTAAGTAAGTAAGTAAGTAAGTAAGTAAGTAAGTAAGTAAGTAAGTAAGTAAGTAAGTAAGTAAGTAAGTAAGTAAGTTTAGAGAATGAGGAGGGTTTAGAAAATTAAGAGGATTGAAAGCATTAAGAAGATTTAGAGAACTTATAGAACATTAAAGAGTTAAGTGAATGTGGTAATTCGGAGAATGGGGCAAGTTTAGCGTTTTGGGGGAATTTAGTACATTTTGAGAATTTAGAGAACTAGTAAATTTGATTTTTTTTTAGAATTTGGTAAGAATTAAGAAGACTAAGAGAACGTTGAGATTTTAAAGAATTTATAAAATCTAGAAAGTTTAGTGGGTAGAGAATTTAGAGAATTTGTGAGAATTCAGTAATTACAGGGAATTTTTACATCATCGATAAAAGGGAACAAAAGGGAATTGAACGAGTTGAAAAAAAAGGATTCGGCATTCAGAAAAATTGTGAAATTTAAAGAATCGGGGAGCTACGAAATTATAGAGGATTGAATAAAACATACATAATTCAAAGAATTAAGTAAACTTTGAAAATTTGGAGAGTGTGGAGAATTAATACCATCTCAAGAATTTAGCGGGTGTACAGAAAACTGAGAATGTAGAAAATTTTTAGAGTTTTGAGAAGGAATTAATTTAATTTTAATAATTAATTGAATTCTAAAATGTAGAGAATTGTAATAACATAGATAACTCAAACACTTAGATAATTTAAAAAGTTCAGAGACTTATACAGATGATTTGTAAATTTATAGAATTTTGAGCACTTGGAGAATTTTAATTTCAAATTTTGAACTGGTTTCAATGGTTCTTCTACCGCTATCGTTGTTTGCCTTTTCGCATTCTATGTAGGTTAATCTAAATGACACTTTCAATTCGCTCTCATCTTAAATTTTCACTTACACTTTCTCGACCAGAAAATCAAACGCCAAGATGAATAATTCAGAAGCCTCACTGCCTCACGGCAATGCTGAACTTCTGGATGCTATCCTGTGGGGTTTCCTCTGCAATCTAACGAGTTCCAATCCCATTAAATATTTAACTCAATGTATGCTCCTCTGAGTAAATTTGGCACCGAAAACCCGGTCCCGAGCTGTTAAAGAGTCAATTTAGAAAGTTGCAAGTCAAAGCTCGAGGTGGCACGGCGGAAAGCTCCCATCGCAACAATAATAATGAATAATGCATGGCAAATTCCTCATTTTATTACCTCATTTATTTTCCGACGTCTGCCTGAATGGTTTTTTTTCATAATCATAACGTATTCATGTAAATTTTCTCTCTCCCTCTGTCTTTTCCACTTTTTCCGCTTCACCTCCGGCTGGAATGGTCTCCTGTGTGTGTGTGGCTGTGTGGCTGTGTGGCTGTGGCTACTACCGGTACCAAATAGGGACATCAAGCCCGACAACATACTGCTGGACGAGGAAGGTAAGTTTTTTTCTTTGAGGTTAGGTACTCATATAAGCTCAAATGAAATGCGAGAATTTTTTGTTCTTTCCCTCTATGGTTCGGGTTGAAAGGGTCTGCAGGCAATGTAGTTTTACTTTTTATGCATATGGGGAGAGAGATGATATGAAAAAGGGGTTTATTTATTGGTTCCAGAAATTGGTAAATGGAAATTGCAGAATAATATGCACATTGTTGTTGACCTATGAATACTGCGAATGAATCATGCGTTCTTTTCATTTGATTCAAGTTGTTTATAGAGTAAATTTGGTTGATTCTGCCAAATTATTAAATGCTTGACTCAGCTCCAAACGGGAAATTTAAATCCTCTTCATGAAATTTTCAAAATCCGCTACGAGAGTATTCAAAATGTTCAATTATGAAATTTGTTCAAGCGTGGCAGGCAGACCATCGGCACTCAATTCAAGCTGAACAATGGATTAGGTCCTAAGTAACATGGATCTTCGACTTGGATACAATATCGGTTTTTGCCGAGTACGCCATATTAGATGCTAGAAAATAGCTTTTGTTATCGAACTGTGTGTTGAAAATAGTTGGAAATGTATATGCATGGCCTTGGGGATCTGCCAATGTTGCTTAGGACCTAATGCATTATTCGGTTTGAATTGTAGAGCTAGACCACCGAAGCAACTTTTCACATCGAGCTAACTAATTCCCATTGTCTATCGTCGCTAGTTGGCTGGCAAGCAGAAGGGGCATCACCAGTGGGGGATGTACATAATCACGTGCGGTGGCATCAATAATGGATCTTTCTTGAACCCTCTATTGGGTATGGCAGATGCTTCATTATATTTGCCACTCGGTTGAATGCTCTTACAAGCTCTTAAATGCTTAGAGCACGGGAATTACACTGATAATGATGGGATGGATGGCATGGCACTATAGTACGCTTGTCAAAATTGTACTGCGGTTTTCTTAGCAAGGAAGAAGGCTTTGGAATTTTTAAAAAAGGATCCGAAGCAGATTGGATTTCATTCGGACGAACGGGTCATGAGTAGAGGGATTAGTAGACACATGGATATGGGGTGTAATGTCAGCGTAGTCACTCACTTCGGGATAGCAAATAACTCATTCATTAAGAAATAATACACAATAGTAAAGAAAGCCTAATACCACATCTGCTGTAAAATTGTAATCCGTATTTTCTTTTTTTTTTTTTTGTAAATCAATTTATTTATACAGGCTCAATCGAATAAACTTTACAGAGCAAAATTATCATTTGTGTTATACATTATTAATATCTTAAATCTAGGTTAGTGGAGATTTACAGTTTCATGAAAGCTGAAATCGTCGACATCCTCGGCAGCTACTTCACGTTGCTGTCATCGATCGACAGAAACGACTATCCACTCGATAGGAAACATCCCGATCCCGAATGACAGCGACAACCTGGACATCAATCGACCCTTCCGCATGGATGAACTCGCCCCTGCTTTATCTAAAGCTAGAGGCGCATCTGCTGGATCTGATGAAGTGGGATATCGTCTCTTTCGATACCTTCCTATCGGGGAGCAGGCTAGGATGCTAGAGTTGGTGAACCAGGAATGAATGGGTGACACTTTCCCTGACCAGTGGAAACACAGCATGACCGTCCCAATCCCCAAACTGAACTCCACAGGGCACAAGGTGGACAAATTTAGACCCATTTCGTTGAGCTGCTGTGCGTCTAAGCTGGTTGAAAGAATGTTAAACAGGAGATTGATCCTGTACCTGGAGGAAGGGAAACACCTGGACCACCGACAGCATGCTTTAAGACCAGGTCACGGGACCAGCACATACCTCGGCTCCCTCAGCGAAGCTTTATCGTCAATGTCCGCAAATAACCATCACGCTGAATTGGTTGCGCTTGACCTATCGAAGGCCTACAACCGGGCATGGATGCCAGGTGTTTTGGACCAGTTGATAGCCTGAGGTCTAAAAGGACACGTGTTGAAGTTCATCCAGAACTTCCTCTCGCACCGGACCTTCCAGGTTGTCCTGGGAAACTGCCGATCCAAGATTTTCGACGACGAGACTGGCGTACCGCAAGGGTTGGTGATAGCGGTCACCCTCTTTCTCGTTAGGATGAATGAGGTATTCACGAGGTTGCCGGTCGGAATCTTCATTTTCGTGTATGCAGACGACATCGTCCTTATGGCAATTAAGGAGACTGTCAAAGCGCTTCGAACAAAAATTATTCATACCACGGCCTACATCTCGAATTGGGCATCAAACGCGGGATTCCAGATGTCCGCAGCAAAAAGCGGGTACACTCATATTTGTCCGTCGAATCACCGGATCCTCAGCACGAAGATCAGCATCCAGGACGAGGTAATTCCATTCAGAAAAACCCTTCGGATACTTGGTGTGCATTTCGACCGCTCTCTTACATTCAACACGCACCTGAACGAGGTAAAGAGTGCCTGCATACAGCGCCTAAACATCCTGAGGACACTAGCAGGCCGACATCCTAACGCCAACCGGACCTCATGCTTCAATGTTGCGAAGGCTATAGTAAACTCGCGGCTGACCTACGGCATCGAGGCTACGTACCTTGCCAAACCACGCCTGGTCGAAAGGCTTACACCAGTCTACCAGCAAGCACTCCGGATTTCTTCCGGACTCCTTCCTGATATCCCCGGGATCGCCGCCTGCATTGAGGGAGGAGTACTCCCCTTCGACCGCCTGATTACCGGGACTATATGCAAACGCGCCATCGGGCTGAATGAGATAACGTCACGTACAGACGAGGAGGGTTCCCTCCTAAAGGAGGCCAACAACTCAACAAACAATTTGAGATGATCAACAGCTGAATAAGCAATTTTTTAGCTGAAGAAGCTTGTTTATGCCTGAATAAGCTCTTCAACATTCAATGTTTGTTGGGAAGCTCCTCAGGGAAATCTCCAACCGAGCTCTCCCCCCAGTGTGCAAGACACATTGGGTTGGAGCCAGAGGCTGGAACAAACCGCCAATTAAGACTGACCACACCATCAAACGGCACTTCAAGGCTGGTTCCAATCCCTCTGCGGTAAATCAGGCGGTATTGGATTTGCAGAGAAGGAAGTACGCTGGATACGCCATCCGTTACTCGGACGGTTCCGTAGCCCAGAAAAGGGTGGGCATCGGCATCTCCGGTGACCACCTAAAGGAGTGTCACAGGCTGCTGGATGAGTGCTCTATTTTTTCCGCCGAGGCAGCCGCAGCTTTTATCGCAGTTACTACCCCGGATACACGGCCAATCGCACTTTTCACAGACTCTGCTAGTGTAGTCACTGTACTTGAATCTGTAACCAGCAGGCACCCCTGGATACAGGCCATCCAAGAGTACGCGCCACCCAACACGGTATTCATCTGGTTGCCTGGACATTGCGGTGTAAAAGAGAATGAGGAAGCTGATCATCTCGTCTGACTTACCGAACTTCTTATGGGGAACTCGAATGCAGGTATTCTTTCCGGCATTGCTAATGGTACCGGCTGTTCACCCCGCTGGTCGACTTGTGACGATGGTTGACATGATTGAGCAGACGGTTTTGCTGCCAATTGCCGCTGAATGCTGTTCATTTGTTCATCTGGAGATCGTCAGCTCGTCTGACATTGCACAGTGGTTCCCCTTAGAACAAAAGTTGGCCAAAACCTCAAAATTGTTGCAAATAGGCAAAAAACAGTTGAAATAAATGTTTATTAGCAGTACGAAGAAAACTTGACAATCAAGACGTCACAAAAAGGAGTATAGTAGAACCAAAGCCAATGCACAATGGTCCCAAAGCCGTATATAGGAAGACAACAATGTTTGCGCCCAAACCGTCAGTTTTAGGTGTATGGTTTCGTAGGGAAAGTTGCTTCATGTTTTTTGTTTTATCTTTTTATGTTCGTAAAATTAGGGTGGTCCATAAAATTGGTGAATTTAAAATACAAACTTTTTTATTATTTGAGATAGACCAAAGCAGTGTTCTAAACAGTTGTAGAACATTCAATTCAAAGCAACTTTGTTCAAGACACAACATTTTTATCTCTTATGGTTAATAAGTTATGATTTTTTTAAACAAACAGGTTAGGGTGGCCACTAAAATCGGTTTTCTTTGAATATCTTTTCATGCGTTAATTTCTCGTAAAACATTGTTCTTATTAATTAAGAACTTTTGATGACGCATATTTTTGCTCAAACAACTAGTTAAAGGCTATTTTCTTCGAAAAAATGGCTCCTTTCAATTGTCAATATCTCAATATGGGGTAAATCGATTTTCAAACATTGAACTTCATTGAAAACATCGTCTTTTTTTCATTTTTGGTTCAAAAAAAGCTGGAAGAGTTTTTTGTGTTTAAAGCATTTAATTTAATTAAAAAAAAAGTTATATTTTTCAACAAAAACTAGCCATAACTTTTCAAATAAAAGAGATAACACCTTAGCAAAAATATGCGTCATAAAAGGTTCTTATGTCTAGTATAAAATTTCACGAGAAATGAACGTATAAAAAGATATTTAAAGAATGCCGATTGTCTAGGGGCCACCCTAACCTGCTTGTTTAAAAAAATCATAACTCATGAACCATAAGAGTTAGATATATGGTGCGTGTGTGTATGTGTGTGCGTGTTGATGTGCCTTGAAAAAGGCATTATGAAGCTTGCTACCGTATGCACCGCAGGTTATATAACTTAGAAACGGATATTTTCGAAAGAACACTTTACTTGTTATTCCTAATTTCAACATCTTTCGCAAAAAATCGCAAAACTTATTAAAGCCTATCTGAAAGCTTACTTTTCTAGCTATCTTTTGGTTACTATAGGATAGTGGGCGGATGTGTCCTTCATATGTTTTGTTTAGTCTAAATGTGAAAAAAAGTGCATTTTTCCTAAATTTATATTTGAAACTGTCACTAAAAACAGTGCAGACACTCTTTTTTACCATCCATTTGACGTGAAATAAGCCGAGGAACATTTCTTCTGAAGCAACCAAGTTGATAAACACATAATTTTTTGCTATA